TTTTCCACGTTATCTAGTAACACGACTAAATGGATTGTTGTGGATGTCGTTTGAGTCATATCAGTAACCTTGTTAATGCGATCTCGAATTTTCTGCTGATTGCTGTTTATATTCATCAGTTGAGAGTCAATGTCTTTTGACAACCGTAAACCTATTTTTTTACTGGGATTTGGGATAATACATGTGTGTCAAGGGTGGTTTTGCTTCTATTGGGTGGATTTCTTTTGGAGGTCTTGACAATGCATCTGCATTTGCATTTTGAATTCCGTTCCTTGTAGTGAATTGTATATTCATATTCCTGAAGTTTGAGTCTCCTTCGAACTAATTTAGAGTTTGGTTCTTTTATCGAGAACAACCATTGTAAAGGTTTATGATCCGTTACGATGCTGAATTTTCTGCCAAATAGGTATGGTCTAAAATACTTTGTTGCCCATACAATTGCTAATAATTCTTTTTCGATTGTTGAATAGTTGCATTCAGCGGGATTGAGTGTTCGGCCCATGTCCTACTAACTTAAGACTAATTTTACTATGTCGAATGCGCAGCTTATATAGCGTAATAATGCAGCATCGACATTTATCACTTAAAATATACAGTGGTCTTCATAAGTGGTCATATAACTGGAGCAACATTGGTTCACAGTCTATATAAAAGTAGGTACTTACGAGAGCTGCTTTGCCCGCTCGGTATTCAATTTGATATATATGAGTGGCATCAACAAGAAAATAGCAGGAAAACGGTAGCCATTAATATATTTAGTGTTATATTTGTTAAGTGCTAGCTCCAACGCTTTCGTGTGGCTGGGTAAGCTAGACGTGTTTAAATTTTCGGATAAGAAGGCACTTGTATAGTGTTTAATCAAACTGTATATATTAGTACAGCCAGGTAGGCTCAAGTTCTTCTAAATGGTACAAATCGTTTTATGTTCGTTTTACAATTTTCTTCTTCTTCAAAATGAGGGATGCAACCCTTATATAGGCAACCACCTCTACCGTAATTTTGTCCAACTAGGCGGCGTTGCCAACCCCTATTCTTTATTTAATTAATTAACAATATTTGCTTAGTTTGTAATAAGTGACAAGCAAATGACATTAAAATAACAGCGTCGAAATTTTATATTTAAAAATTCATACGAATTTTTGGTGGTAATTACCAGAAAACATAATGAAACATTCATCATGACAACACCGCAAAGAGGGGAAGAGGATTTGTTGGACAAGTAAATACGGCAATTTCTCGTGTTTTTGGTGATAATAAGTGATAATCGTGATATTAATAAACTGTTACGCTTAAAAGAAATCGTGCAAAGTGGTTTCCTTTGCAGGAAAATCGGCCTAAATTTTCCTAACCTGTACTGTTTTGCACGATTGTAAACAGGGACCAGTGGCATGAGTTGTTTTGAATTTATAAGCTTAGAGATAGATTTAGATCCCTATTGAATAGTTATCAAATGCTTAAAAAAATTGCGTTACTATTATAGCGTTTATAATGTCAATCATATAATGTAGAGAAAAAGGTCAGAAAACGAGTGAATCTTTCATGCTTAGAATAAATCGATTAATACTGATGTCTACGCCTATGACTAGCAGCCAGGCCAGTTGATTTTCCGATAAATTCTACTCTTTGCTCGAGTTAAATTCTTCAATCAAGGGAAAGCCTTTTAAAAAAGATTTATTTTCAGAACGACGAGTTACAGCAATAGTGTTCTTGTGACAACTGATAACTTATAACTGAACTTATGCTAAGATTGCAAGTGGTACTTATAAACTAAAACTGCTGGATTGGTGCAACTAAGCATTTACTTCGCTGACCAATTAGTTACAGGGTTTATAACTCTCGGTACCTACTTTATCCCTACCACCTGTTTTTCATTGATAAATCGCCGATCGATAGAATTTAATGTTGGACCAAAACAAATCGGGATTTTTGAATGACTAGCTTGGTCTATTTATTAATGTCTTTGACCCTTATATAGATCTTGTAAGTGGCTGGTCCATGTTCCCTTACTTATCTAACTGGTATAAGTTCACTTGTTTGCCTGACCAATGTGCCAGTTTCATTCCGAATCTGTTTGTTTCATTGTATGACTCATCTGTTCGCGTTGTTAGTTACTTGATATAAGCATGTATTTTCTTTTCGCATTGCTTCTTAACTTCCTCGCAGAACTATGGAGTTTTATTTTCCACTGAGGGGTCGGCCTTTGTGTAACTGCTCCAAGAGCTCCTATCGCCGCAGCTTTTATGTTTGTTTTCAATTTACTGCGAATGATATTGACATCATATAGATGAACCAGTCTGGTGCATTTCAAATTTCGCTTCTAGGAGTTTTTTGTATAATTCTCGGATGGTTGAATCCCAGAGGTCAACCTTAATTATTTCTCTTGTTTTCTCTGGGTGTTTACGTTTTGTCTTGGGGCCACACTTGAATCATCCTGAATTTGTCAAGCAGTAACCCATGGTCACTCCTAATATCGGGCGATTCGATTAGATTTGCGAAAATATTTGCGTGAGTAATTGAATTGTGAATTATCGCAGAGTTTGTTCGGCCTCTCTTCAGAATAAATGATTGGTCAATAATGATGTTCCGTTTGCTGACAGATGTCGATAAGATTGAAATTAAAATTAGCAGTAATATGTATTAAAATATTAAAAATTATTCTTTCTTATTTCAGGTTTGTTCATGAAGTTAACTTGGATATAAAATATCTCATACTAGCCGATTGCATGGTGAACTCTATAATTATTGCGTTCCTAATAGTTCAGGTTTTATTTGTGGTAAGTTATATTTTTTAAAGTAGAACTAAAATACAATATAATATTTTTTTACTCCCGCTCTTTTGTTCTAAATATCTAGTATTGGTGTAAATAATCTACGTGACATATAGCTAGCCCTAGCTTAGTAATTAAATTCTTTGCATCTTCTAAGTGTGTCGGAAAGGTCAGCGAAGCTTTGGCCTACAGGGATTTTAGGGGAAAATTCAGTAAAATAATGAGTTTTGAGCTGCATTTCTTCTATAAAATTAATCGTTGAAAAATATATTTCTATTAGATGTGACCAAAATTACAAGCGTAATTTCCAAATGACATTCAATCAGTTACGTATCGTGCTATTAGGAAAAAATTAGGTCAAATTTCAGCAAAATTGGAAACGTGAAAACAATTTAATATTGACAGCTACATCATCATGAATTATGATATATTAATATACAATTATCATTATTACATTAACTCAAAGGAAATCAGTTGATTCCGGTTACCACACAAAAAGTTCTGGTAGTTTTTGTACCAAGACCTCAAGAGTACACCACTTACTCAAGCGAATGAACTGGGTGGCTTCATCAAAATATCAGTCTTACATAAGAAAACATACACAGCGGGTTTCATTAAAATCAATCTCCCGATATATCATAAGAGATAATTTTTTTGGAAGAACTTTGACCATGCGGTCTTCATTTGAGCGAAAGGACTTATAAGTGCCCATTTGATCATGTGCTCATGGGACTGATAATGCCGAACGTTTCTCATTTTTTCATTGTCATCCATGTTTTCATTGTTTTTTACACTGTCATATATATTTTCATTTTGTGGTGCCTTTTCTAAGGCATAAAACATTAAAATATTAATCGAGGGTGACTACACGAAAACGAAATTAGAGTAATTTTGCAGGTCTAAATTTGACAAAAAACGGACGGTCACATTTTTCGTTTCAAGAGTGAAAATAGACCAAAAACAGAGTTAAATCTTAAATGGAATAGATAGTGGATGGAGTTTTGCCTTGTTAGAAAAATATCTTTATACGCGGACTACCAAGTTGAACAAAAATTGCATTATTGCATGGGCGCCGGCGGCAATTATCTTCGACATTTAGTGAACTAGTGTTAATGTACGATTCTCTTTATTGATTGAAAAGTGAGTTAAAGAATAGCCTACCATTATCCAAGAAAATCTGTTAACATTAGAATAACCAATTTGCTAAGAATCGCGAGATCGAAGTAAAATAATTAGTACTAGATATGTAAAGAGTTTTATAAGACGTTTCAAACAAGATGCAACTCCATCCCATTTCAGATGATAATTTTTACCTGCCCATCGATGGCAGTTGAAAATGACATCGAATTCTCAAAAAGTTTTCCTTTGAAATAGAAATTGACGTTAAAAATTTAAATAAAGAAAAACGCCTAATTAAAACGGTGCTTGATAAAATTAGTTGTAGATAATACGATATACAATACGCTGATAATAATTGATTTTCAGACGACATCCCTTTCATCGTTGATGTTTTACGTTGCGGTCAGCTGCACTGTATTGTCACAAATCTTCATTATATCTTGGTTCGCTAATGAAATTGAAGTAATGGTGAGTATACAAGATTTATTAAATATTTTGAATATGTTAGTAAGAATGAATTCAAAACAACAAGAGAAAGCACTACAATATGCAAGGATATTAAAAATAAATGTACAGACGCGTTCATTGCAGTTAACCCCAATGCATTCAGTTGAAAATACTAGTAAAACATGTTTTATCTACAAGGTAAAATACTCTTTTAGGGTATTACTTAAAATGAAAATATGCAATTTATTTTTCTTTCTTTGGCAGTTTTCGGTTACTAGTTTTCAAACATTTTTAATGATATCTGCAGTGACTAATGAACAGTACTTTTTACTACCAATTCTTAGTGATGGTTGACTGAAAGCTTTCAAGCTTTATTTTTAGTCGTCTAGTAAAATTGGCATGCCTCGGAACAAAATGTTATGTTATAAAAACGCCGCCTTCGAGTTGAGCGCCATTTGGAGAGTCATAAATTTACATAAAAAATATCGTTTCTTAGTAGAAAGGGGACTAAGTAAACTTGAGCGCTACAGACGACACAAATTACAAAGAAAAGACACCTTACAGGCAACAGAATAAGTAGGAAAACTGCCAAAATAATACACAAATATACAGGGTTATTCACGCTATACGGCACGGAAGTTTGGGACTAAATTATGTAAGCGTAATTTATAGTGAAGTGTAACAAGATATAATATTTTATATCCCAATGATAATAAACATACCATGTTATACAGGGTGGCCACAAATTTAAACTAATCAAATAAGAACTTTAAGTGGCTCTAACTTGACTAATTTAAATACAACCCCATATTTTATAACTTACCAGGAAATGCAATTTTTAATCACCTATCGAATGGTATTAGGATGTTAATAGCTAAGTTTTTGCCTTTTTACAAAATACGTCAAATAGACGTTCTGTGCACCATTTGGTGTTGTTTAATTTCAGGTTCCAATGTATCTAAGTTGCCTATGCCATTCGCACATGTCAAATCATTTATTTTATCTGTCAGTTTAGACTGCAAAGTCTCTTTTTGATAGCTAGAGTGGTATTGTTTTTTGTAATTGTAGACGTGTTGGTCGGTATTTTAATATTATTATTGTGTTGCTAAGTGAAAATGAAGAATTATCCAAGAGAAGAGCGTATTGACATGATTTTCACCCTTGGAGAATGTCATAAAAATTGTTTATTGGCTTCTCGAGTTTATGATCAAGAGTTTCCTGAGAGAAATCATCCTAAGCCAACGGTTTTTAAGCGCTTATTACACCGATTTGAAGAAAGTGGGAGTGTCAATTATGAAAAATCCATTACAAGGAAATCTGTCACTGAAGATGAAGAAAATGTTTTCACGGTAATTAGTTCAGTTATCGAAAATCCCAATGTTAGTCAAAATCTAATATCCAAAAGTACTAACATTAGTCAATCAAGTATTTCCAGAATTATCAAAAAGCAC